TAAAGCTAGTGAAGAACAGAAAGTGTGGCTGCATACAAAATTAATGGTGGGGGTGATATGTAAAAACAACAGATTCAACTTCTAGTGTAAATAATTGTCATTGTGATCGTTATCTTACATGGCTCCCTCAGCTTAATCAGTAACAATGAATCCTCTCACATGCAGGAGAAAACAGAGATAAAGATTAGAAAACTACGTCAGAGCTTTTGTTTCAAGCCAAGGTTGCCACCTGATTTTTACAAAGAAAGAGAAGAATCAAAGACAGCAACAAAAAAGGTATTTTATTCCCATTTATTAACAATAATTATCCAAGCCATGAATTTGACAATAAGTTGTTCTTGCTTATGCATGGATTCTTCAAAATTGGTGACGTATCAGAATGTGGCATGCACTCCTATTGGATACTCGTGTAATACTATTACATATATATTACATTCGGTGATAAATTATTATATGATCCACCATTAGTACATATATCATATATGTGATTTTGTCTATCTTTACATTACATACAGTAAACAATGATAAGAACTATAAACACGTGATTGTTATATATTTTATATTTTATATTTTGCAAGCCATATTGAAGACTTTAATAATAAGATAACGATGGTAGATCAATATAAATACCAACTATATTAGGGGAAAATAAGAAATAAAAAGAATAAACTAAAAAAGGTAAGAAATATATTTGACTAATATATTGTGGTACCCGTATCTTAATCTTTTAAAAACTGTCATATCTATGCATTGTATCATGTCGAATTTGTTACTAATTCTCACTAGTAGTGAAAAGTTTATATAAATTTGTTTTAATTTTTTTTTTTTTTTTGCAGGATCAGTTGGTAACTCACGAGTCATCCAAAAAGGAAAGAAGACCCACTTTAAGAGTCGTAGAGAGCAAAAGCTCTTTACCTCGTATGAGACCTTTCAAGGAAAAGAACTGTGCCACCTTGACTATGCCTTTCACTTCAAATTCTCCTATGAATACTACTCATGAAAATACATCTCCAAATATTCAGCATGGAAACCAAAATGACAAATTAAAAATAATTTTAGGGAGAGAGTACTATACAACTGATTGATGTGCTTCTAGTTTGTAGCCAAAAATGACATGTACTATGTAAATAGTTTCGTGCAAATGAGGCCTTCTGTGTGTGTTTTGGACTTTTGGATATATGGCTATATGGTATGGCCCTATGGCATGACTTCTATTTACTATTTTTCCTCCTTTCACCTTAACTATTTCCTTTTTGCATGCCCATTAAATTAGAATATTAAAAAAAATATTATTCATCCAAATAAAAATACTTTTTTCCTCATTAATTAATCATCTAATTAATCTAACAAGTTATTTTTTATATTATTATTTTAAACTTTTTTTTATAACCACGTATTCCTTAAAAAATGAAAATCAATTATTGTATGCATATTGCAAGATTTAATGCTTGAAGTAATCTAATTTTTAGAATTAAATTAGAATATTGATCTTGTAAAGTTTTTGTACACTCTCATTCAATTATATAGAAATTAAACTCAAAAATCATATGTAAAATGATTTTTAGTTAGTTGCTTGTAAGAAAAACAAAATTATACTATATCAAAATTAAACTACTTTTTATGATTAAACAAAAAATCAACATTAAGTGTAAATAAAATATGGAACTAAATTCGTAATAGTCTTAATAGTCGAAAGGTTTTTTTATTTATTTATTTTTATTATTATTATTGCTATTATTATTATTATTATTATTATTATTTAGTTCCTGTAATTTTAAAAAAATATTGTTTCAGTCTCTCAAGTCATCAATAATATATTTAAAAGTGACAGATTAAGACAATAATGTAGTTTTAACTAGATTTAATGTGATATTTTTTACTAATAAAAATATAAGTAAATAAATTTTAGGTAACAAGATTTGATAGATTCTCTAACAAAATTTGAGTATAAAAATTAAAACAAGATTTTTTAAAATTACAAAGACTAAAAAAATAATTTTCATTTTGAGAGACTAAAAATAAATTTATTTTAAATTTGAGACGCTAAAAATATATTTGAGCCTATTATAAATTTATAATAATGTACTAACACTTGCTATGTTAAAAACTAAGTGCTCCCATTCTTTTCTGCATTTTTATTTTGTTAAAAAAGTCAAAGTTAATATATTAATTTTTTGAAGTATTTATTCACAATATATATAATACTCTTTTTGTCTTGTAATAAAAGTTGTGTTTGTAGAAAAAATAAGTCTTAAAATAAGTGTTGTGTTAGTTTTTCAATATAATATTAATTACCTTTTTTTTCATTTATACCCTTTATAATATTTATAGTAAAGAAGATTAATCATAAATTATTTTTTTTCTAGTATGTGTAAAACAACCTATACCGATGTGTATTATATATGAGACAAAGAGAGTACTAATTATAGTTAAATCAAGTCAATAAATGGATTAAGGAGTGATGTCTGACCTAAACTCATATAATACTATTTTTAAAATAAAAAAGGTCAAAATTTGAATACAACATATAGAAAGAGATATTTTTGAAAGTGTTAAAAATAAGAAAATTGTTCAATTTTTTAAAATATGAAACCTCATAGAGAAAAATTTGATGCATATTTATATTTCAAAAAATATGAAATCATATGTTTAATACTACAAATTTATGTATGAGTACTGTTCCTACTAAAAATTTCTGGATCTATAATTGGTTAAAGAAACTTGTGACACCCTCTACCCCAACATACATATATAATAATTATAAAAACATCTTCTTTGGTTAAATAAAATCTTTAGAATTAAAGCAATAGTTCCACTAACACAAGAGTAGAGAATTCACATTTGTAAACTTAAATCATGGTCAAAAGCGGAATTTATAAGAAAATGAAACATGAGTTTTTCCAAAACAAAATAACAATAATGAAATCCTAAACTAAGTCTAGCTACGCCCCGATATCACATATCCTATCAGAGCACGTCCAACTGAAGCCTAAGCCTCATCACCAACATCCTCATGTCGATGATCACCTGCAACACAATAAAATACACATAGAACAACAAGGGAGTGAGAAACATCTCACTCAGGTTCAAGTGCAAAAATAAAGGTTAGATAGTACACACACACACAACAAACATAATACAAGTCACAAGCACAAATCACATGTAAACAATACACATACACAATCAGTATCATATGGACACTCATTTATCATGCAATGATGTCATGGACTCGACTCATAAATGCATGCATGTAATGCCAATCACATATCACATATCACTGGTATGCTGCCTCAACAACACACCTAAGGTAGTCTAGGAATACATGTAGGGAGCTATCCATACACCCTCAACTATAAGGATGTACTGCTAGGGTCTGGTCGGGATAGCGAAGCTGCGCAAGTTACATCTTGTGCTCACAAATGGGCGAAATTGAGACATCCAAACTGCACTATCTCCTAGGACCCCCCTAAGTTGTTACACAAGGAGGGTCTTCCCTAATGGTGTACCCCATATCATACCCTTTACATAGATGCACATGATGCATGTCACACACATTCACACTTCATGGACTCATCACTTTACTTGTCATAGTTACTCGTATATCATGTCTCATTGTCACATTTCATCATATTTCATATCTCAAATTCAATTTTCACATTGTCTCATCATATTCACATAATCTCCACAGAGCACTCTAATTCCTATCAAAACATATTCAAACTCAAAATTAAATATGCATTCATGCTCAGTAATCATCAAGAAATACAACAGAAAACTCAGAAAGTAAAACAGAAAATATTAGAAATTTGCTTGTTTCTCATAGGGTTCTCTCAGGAACCCACAACACTCTAATTCATATCAAAACTTGTTTATTTTCAAAATTAAACACATATTTGCACTCAACATCACACAAGGAACGCAACAGAACATTCAAAAGTAAAACAGAAAACTTTTATAAAATGTCTGTTCCTATCAGGCAAGGGATTGGGGGTCAATCCTACTACCCAACAATTATTCCTACACCCCCGAGCGGGGTTTCTCACTCCCCCTTACCTGGATAAGCCAAAGATGAAGCTAGGATAGAATCTGGTTGATCTCTTTCTCTTGGTTCTCCCTGGTCTTTAGAGAGTGTGTCAATGAGCAGTGCTTGAGTATGCTATTTATAGATGTTAGAAGTTGCCAAAACAACTCGTTTCGGATCCAAAACAGCCCGTTCTGGATTCACTCGTCATGTGTAAAATTCACATCTAGAAAGACCTATTCTTAAACTAGAACGACCCGTTCTTAAACCAGAACGACCCGTTCTTAAACCAGAACGACTCGTTCTGGAGTTGAAACTCATAACGGCCATATTTGGAACGACCCGTTCTCAACTAAGGTTTGTAGGTTTTTTTAGTAGTTTGGGAACAACCTATTCTAGACTACTAAATCACCCTTATTGAGTTTTGAGTCTTCATATAATTTGTGAAAATTAGGGTGTTAAAAAACTAACCTAAGGTCAATGTCCCTTCTCCTCTCTTTTCTTTATTAATACTAATTAAAGGGATCGAGACATTTTATACCTCTTATAATTACACAAATAAGATATTAGATGGTTGTTATATCAGTTATTTAGAAAAGATTTAACAAAATTATTTTTTTAATATTCGATGGGTATAATGATCTACTCCAAAAATGATAACCTAAAACTCTTTAATTTATTTTTCAAATCATTGTTTTATTTATTTTTCGAAAACAAGGGTGTTATACTAGGCTCTATGTTAATTAGGAGGCACCAAGTTAAAAATGTTTTTAATTTTATTATTTGTAGTAAAATTAAAATTGTATACGTCTGATGGGTAGTCACATCCGATTTTCACAAACATTGATTTATATATATATTTTAAGGAGAGAAAAGGTGGACAAAATTATTTAATATTTAATTATATTTTTAATTAGTATCTTAAATTTGGACTACATATTTTTTTAAAAATTTAAAATTTATATTTTTAATCCTCAAAATATATCAAAAAAATTATTATTAATTTATGTAAAATTTGTATTTTATCCTTCAAATTTAAAATTTATTTTTAATTTATATAATTTTAAAAATATTATTTTAATCATTGATATCATAATTGGTAGTGAAAATTTGATAGAGACAAAAATGAAATTTTTTTTTATATTTTGAAACTAGAAATACAAATTTTAAATTTGAAAAACTAAAATAATATATAATGCACTATCCGTATCGCCATGCTGAGCTCGAGCTCGACATCACAGCGTGGAATGACCTCGGAACACGCATTTAGAGATCTCGGTCTAGACGAGATCCGCAATCCAAACAGATCATGCCTGATCTCAGGAGATCTCGATCCAGATGAGATCCGCTATCTAATTAGATCATAACTGATCTCAGGCCCAAGGCCCAACGCAACCCTAATTCACACTAAGGTACGTGCATTACTTATACGAGACACATACTCATACAAACCGTAATTTTGGCATCGGAGTCTCTTTTGCAGGCATCACCCCTACCTTGGAGCACCAGCGTACCAGTGAAGGAGGCTCACCAATCTTACTTGGAGGATCATCTCTACGACAAATTCCCAGTAAGAACATTTGGCACCCACTGTGGGGCCGATCAAGACAGCTCTTATCGGCCACGCTTATGGTATTCACCAGAAGCCATAGTAGACGAGCAACAAACGACGCAGATCACACAACTGCCATGGATAACGAAGCCACGTTGAGGAGACTGATCGACCAGGTCGAACAGATGCGGCAATAACACGACGCCGATCTGCGAAACATGCGCGCCAAGCACGAGACCAATCTAGCGGCGATGCGGACCGCTAATGAAGCTGACCTAGCGGCACTACGTGCTGAAAACGAGCAGATTCGCGCTCAGCTCCCTCGACGCCCCTCTGATCATCAGCCGCAAACGAGCAACCTCCATGAGGAAGAAGGGCATTCGGTCTCCCAACCCCGGACTGCGACTAGGGCACCGACCCCGCGACCCGCCACGCATCAGTCTCATGCACCGACGAACAAGTCGGCCCATGAAGTCAGCAAGGCCCCTACTCAAGTCACGGAGGGTCAAGCA